AAAAGGTGGACCTTTCTTCCCAGTTTGCCTCTGAAGAAGAAAGGTCCACCTTTTGAAAGTGTTCGAGTTATAGGGTTTTTATTCATTGTTAGTACAAACATATTCCTTGCGTTGAAACTATACAAGGTCAGAAGTAGAGACAGTCCAAATCTGTGGACAGCAGAATTCCTTAGAAATCACTGAATCTAGTCTCCTGCAAATTAATTAATAACTTACAGGTTTGTTTGTTTGTTTGTTTTTCTCTGTAAAAAAAAAAAGCACTGCTGAGAAGCAGGAGGAAAAGTATATTTCTCAAATGCTGGTTTCTGTTAGTATTTGACAGGTTTCAGCATTCTCTTCCTGGAAACTTGCCATGTGATGATGCAGTTTCTTTGTTTTTGGTGTTTATATCTTGCAGATTATCTGCCTTTGAACCTGTAATGAACAGTAATTAAAGCATCTACACTACTTATCTGATGTAGTGATATCTATTAATAGTTCAAGAAGTTGAAGTATTTGTACCTTACTTAAATAAGGTTGTTTTACTATTTGATAAGACATAAACATTGTGTGGAGATTTCCATGTATTTAATTGATAAAGATAAATGAATAAAACAAATTTTAATAAAAGGTGTTTTTGTTTAAAATGGGTACAGTTACCTTGTTAACACCTAGATTGGATGAAATTTCTATAAACCATCAATAAAAGGCTCATTCAAGCAACAGAATGAAAACTTTTGTATTTGACTACTACTAACAACGTTATCTTAAGGTAGATAAACAAAAAATATAATGAAGTGCCATAATGTGACTTCTGCTACTCTGTTGCATTATCTTTGATTGCTGTGATAGATTATATACATATATATATATATATATATATATATATGTGTGTGTGTGTATGTGTTTAGAGTAAAAATCTGAGAAACAGTTAAGTCCACTGTTATAAGGATTTGTTTTTTTTCTATTTGAGATTTGTTTCATGAATGTACACATGTATCAAAAGAGCTAATTAAAGTAAAAAGCTAAATATGGGAGTTAAATGTAAGATGAGAATGACAATTATTTGACTATAGAGGCAGATAATAAAGAAAGATGAATTATTTGAGGTCAGCACTTATCTGTACAGTCTTGTTTTTTTGTGACAAGCAGTGAGTGAGTGGGTGTGACTGAGAGAAGGTAAACTAATAGGACGGGCAATAAATCAATTTATAATAGCAAGTTTATTTTTTAATGATAAACAGTAAATGTACACAAAAACGTTCTTTTAATAGTTTATAAATCAAACTAATGCACTTTTGTCTTAATTTTACTGGCAAAGTGCTTGATACATAAAATTGAAAGTATTTCACCCATAAATTGTTTTACATAGTTATGTCTAAATGATTTAGAATTTTATAATAAGCTGTTATTGCTGCAAATATTAAAAAGTGCCTTCCCAAAGTCTCAATTTTTTATTTTTTATTGCCCTTTGAATCGTGCCTAACTACTATTCGTACCATTAGAAGTTGTAAATCACTTGGAGAATGTGCAGCTCACATTAAGCTATTGAATTAGATTACCCATGAGCTACTCTTAGCTGCTTGTGTGCATGCCTCATGAAAAATTTTGATTATTACTATTATTTATTTTACCTAACCTTAACCAACCTAAAAGAATTTTCTATTTTTACATGGTTGTTACTTTTATAATAATAAATAAAGAATATACATGAAAAACAAGAAATAAAGTACTTACCTGGGCCTTCTTTTTCTTTGTCTGTTGACTGTCAATGACACTTAACCCTACTTGTTTCATACTAATGGTAGTAGTGCACTAAATACTTTTTATTAATTAAATAATGCAACAAAGTAACATTG